ATATCCTTTTTTGCGGGGAGGGGTTGTGGTTGGGTTTTTTTTTTTTTTTTTTTTTTTGGTATTTAATTCAACTGTACACAATGTAGTACATACAAGCAAAATACAATTGAGATACTGTTTTCTTTAACATTCCTATAGGAGACCACATTCATTTGCATTGGAGAGAACACAATTACTGATTTTTAACTCATGAAAGACAAATTCATAGCTCTTTCCTTCACTACCTCATAGTATTCACACCATCTCAGTGCAAGCAAGTCTAACATCACTCAGTGACTTCCTACCAGTGGGCAGAAATTGCATTTTTCAAAGTTTTGTTTCTCACAGAATCATTCAACTTTAGATACAAAAGCACATTCAAATGAGCATGTCTCAGCTCAGAACAATTTATACAATATAGGTGTGTGTGTGTGAGTAAATCTTCATCAACACTAAACATGAAATGTCTATATAGGAAGTTTCCACATTTAACAGCATTTTACAGTTTACTTGGGTTTTTTTTTTTCCCTCTTTAATAAATCTTTGACCAAGATATACTTCTAAGAAATATAAATACAGTAAAAAGATCCCAATATTTGTATTTAACAGAGCCTAAAACCAACTTTGAAAGTACGAGGAATAGATACTTTATGCATGGCTTGTATTACAATAATTTGCATTCGTAAGAACGAGACATGTAGCAAAAAGAAAAAAGTTTTCGACTCCTGAGTGACCCTGAGAAAATACTGGTATCTAGTCTGTTTATTGCAGTAACACATATAAAATGATTTGAGAATGATACTTAACAAAAGAGCCAATCGGTTAGCAAATAGCATGCCAATCATTTCATAATATAAGATAATGTTATGAAACCATCTCCCAAACCATCCTTCAGCTTTAAAAAAAAAATCTACTTGGGATGTAGCTATTAAAACCAATTCTTGAGAAATAAAAAAAATTAAAAAATAATAAACCAATGTAAAGAAAATTAGCACTCAATTGTTACATATTTTTTACGCAAGCAATGAGGAGGCATTGTTTTCTTCACATTTTTCACTTCCACTAACACAAAACCCACGTAGAACTGACTGAATGCTGACAAATTTACTTCTCACTTGTTAATTTTCATAGAAATGCAACGTACAAACACCAAAACAGTCACCACATAACCTAAATGCTTTGGTTTCAAATAGCACAGCACCCTGGCTTCTGAAAGCACCAGAGTGCTAGTGTCCAGCCCAGGAGTCTGACCTCAGTACCCCATGCCCGTCACTAGCTCGCTCTCCCTTAGCCTGCAGTGCAAGTAGCTCCTGTCTGCATTTTAAACTAATAAAGGAGAGAAAAGAAAATTAAAACCACCCAATGGGAGACGAAGCGACTCCTCTACAGCTGCAGCTTATGAGTATTTGGTCTGTTAAACATCTTCAGGGCAGTGAATCATACAGAGCACATTTTAATCTCCCTCCTTGGTATTTCGTATCTCCCTCACAGTCGAGGGATCAGGGACTAAGAGGGCTGTAGAGATGGGTCCTAGATTGCTTTTAACCTTATAGTAGAAACTTGGGATGCATTTTTAATTCTGAACTCTTACACAAACAGAACAAAATTATTTAAATGACACTCCAGCTAAAAGCAAATAATCTCCGCCTTTTGGAAGAAAAAACTTAAAAAGGAGCACATCAGAGAGATGTTTTAGACGTTAATAACGTGAGATAAAGTCATATTTCACTTACATTGCAAAATTAAATAACCCACACTGCAATATGGAATGATGGGACATCAATTAACCAAAGATAAAATTCCAAGGATTTGTTACTAATTATAACCTCCAAAAGGACTCACAGATACAGCCAAAACAGTTATTTATTGAAATACTGTATGTCAAATATTGTAGATGGTTCTCTCAAATGTTTATCAACTTTTCAAATGTTATGAGATGAGTGACTTAAACTTAAAAGGAATACTTCATATATCATAAAGCTTCAACTTAGACTTCTCAAGCAAAAAAATATTATTTTAAAGTATAATGTTTACTGAAAACCCATCAGTTACACATGACATCTTTTCCAATATGGGAAAAACTAGCTTAACAATACTCATGGCGTTGCAAATCACAATTCTTATCTCTTCCTTTAGAAAAGGTACTAAGTAGTATTCTGCTACGTGACAGAGCCACTTGCAAACAAAAGAAATAATGGTTAAATTAAAATGTATCTGAAAATGGCACATAACTTTTTTTAAATTCCTTTAACAACTCATCTAAGCATTTATAAAATGAGTGATTTGTTTTAAAATCTATTCAATCCCAGTAAAAATCAGAGTAAGCGGCTACAAGACTATCAGCAATTGTAAAGGTGGGGAACCAGTCGTCAGAGTCTGATTCAGCTACTTAATGACTAATGAGGAAGAAATGTATGTGAATGGGATGTAAACTAAGTTACGACACAGAGGGGGGAAATCAGAATGAGTAAGAAAGGGCCCAAATTTAAAGTCCACAATGAACTTTAAACAAAGATGTTCTCCTTCATTCTCTCCTCAGGGACAGACACTTCCCGTGCTAGCAAATCACTGTGGAGAACAGCGACCTCCAGAAAACGTCTGCTCGTTCTGGAACCAGGGTGCACGTCACCAGAACTATAGATTTCGCAGCGCTCTTTCCTTAAGACAACAACAAAGTGCTCAGAAGCCAATACTCAGTAGTCTCTGAGACTAAAAAAGTCTGGCTTTGAAACTGCCATCCAATCCAAACAACCTACTTCTTTAGAACGCTATGCAAAATATTGGCCCTTTACTGAATTATTTTATTATTCAACATAAAACTATCTAAAAAAGAAAAGTAATTAATCGCGAAGTTTGGTTAAGCAATTGAGCCGACACAGTAAATATTTACTCTGAACATATCACAGGAAGTCTTGACAAGCCCTGGTGCCGGGGGCTGCGGTGGGAGTGGGAGTGGGAGCGGGCTGGGGTGGGCGTGGGGAGTGGGCGGTGGGCAGCGGGGCCGCGACATCCCATAAACAAGTCCAACGGTCCCAGCGAGCTGAACGGAGCTAGTGTTTGCCAACCGGACCCCCGTTGGACACAAGATATTTTCCAAGCACAGTAAACACCTTATATAATGAAAGTAAAAAAAAAAAATGTAACTTTCTAAACTATGTATCTCCAGTAGGAAAACAAAGCTTTTTAAAAAAACCGTAAGAGCACGTTTTTAAAGGCTGAGGGGTTTGCATTTATACGTAAGCCCAATCACCAAAAAAACTAAGCAAAGTATATTTACCTTAGCTTTTTAGAGACTGAGTAATCAACTTCCATGATTTTCCCATGCAATTCCACTTTACCTTTAAAACAGAAATTAAAGCACTCAGAACCTTCCTCGCACCGAGCCGCGGGGGTCCGAGGAGGGGCACGCACACTACTGCACGCTCCGGCTCCGCCTTCG